ATTGCTGATAACCCACACTATTAGACAGAATACCCACTGAAACCATGCCAAAATCTTCTGTTCTAATATATAAGGTCATTGCCATTAAACATGTTGAATAACAGTTCATATAAAATGATACTGTCAGAGCCACAGAAAGATTACTCAGTGCAAGAGTTCTATAACAAAGCTGCTTGTATTAAAAACACTGAAAAATTATATGGAGAATAGGGATCATGTCAAGGATTAAATCTTCATTTCCCACAGTAACTGTTTGTTCTGTATAGAAGTAATAATTATCTACAGAAACTACAAAGACACCAAATACCTTTTCATAACTCTTTCAAGGGCTCTCAAATATCCTTTGAGTTATGGGTATTCTGTCACAACTGGTTCACAGTACTTACTTACTTCCTCTGACACAAAACACATCTTCTAACATTTAATGCTTAGTACACCAAAGGGGAAAAGGTGCAGAATACACAAGATTACCAGTGAGGAGAACCACTGAATTTTGTTTTCTGCCAAGGAAACAAAAAGCAAACAGCTACATTCAAGTCACTATTGGAACATGTGCCTAGCCTTGCATCTTATCTCTGTCAAGGCAATACTTGTATTAAGATTAATTTCTCAGCATGAGCCATGAAGTAAAACATTCAGTTTATTACACACAGCCTATAAGTTGATACTGAATAAGAATTAAAACTGTGAGGAAGTCCAAGTCTTCCGCATGAAAAAACATAACTGAACAGAAAAGGGCAGCAAATTTTACAGCAGCTGGAAATGCTAGATTTAATTACTGAAGAGAAATCATGCAGAGAAGTTAGCTGCCTAGCATGATTTATAACAAATGCGAAGGGAAAGCCATGTGAAATTTTCAGTTAATCAACAGAAACAAGAATGGCAGCAATTTATAGTTCTATGAATGACACGAATTTGAAAAAGTAAGACCAAAAAATTCAAGGGAATGATACCACACAATCTTTAAAATAAGACACTTGGATGAGGCAGGTTAGTTTGTAAATCACAGCAGCAGCTACATTTTATTGCAAAAATTACTGAAGTGTCTTTTTTCCTCTCAGACTCAGAATGAAAAATCCTTATCCATACATTTTAGCAAGTTTTCTGAAAATTACTGTGGTGAACTGTCCATTGGTCCTCCACACACACTCATGATGTGCAATGTTATGAATGGTTCTGTACAGTAACTTTTTCCCCATTTTCCTACTCCTTCATGTGAATCTTTCAGGCAAATCCCCTCCATGTTGCTGTAAGAACATTAATAAAAAATAGTTTATACAAGCATTTAGATATGGTATCGCATACTTTTTGTCAAAACCCAGTAATGCTATCTGATAGCAAACTAAATCTTCACTAGAAAGATGAAACACAGTGATGCTTGAACAGTTCAGGCCTAAAACACTTCAGGTTTACATATTTAGAATTCTATAAATATGTATATTCACACACAAATACATGAAGAGATTTATATAAGACAAGATGCATATCCGAGGCAGTGGGCACTCCTGTCATAAATTATAAAATAAAGTCAATTAAAGTACAAAATTCCCTCCCCCTCCTCACACCAAATCCAATTATTCATGTAGGCCTGACTCCACAGCAGTCTGCACACATAATCTAAGATGCAGTGAAAATCATCACATTTTTCAAGGTCATTTCTAGAAAGCAGTCTAGGTGGTAGCATGTAGCAGTTGGAATTCGGGCATACAGAGGTTACTCTTCAGGATTTTCAGCTCTACCCAACACTCGGTGAGATTTTGAAAAATATCCAAGACCTGTGCATATAAATCCTAAGGACACTAGGCAAAATTTAAGGTTATAAGGGTTATAATTTATGTTAGGAATGCTCACATTTTCACTTTCTCTAAAAATGTGTGCTTTGTGGCCACCTCACTAGAAGAATGAGTGGAGTTTTGCTTCATCATGCTTCTTGAAGCTTAATCACATTGCAAAATGGGTAAATATGTCTTGGATCTCCCTGTGACATCCCATATGTCTATGTTCATTGTCATAACTACTTACATAAGTAACAATGAAAATACAGGTGAAGAAAAGATCAGGAAAAAAAATATGAATTTAAAAGGTTGACCATTGACTGTATTCAGCTGTAGAAAAAGTTCTACTTAATTCCAAAGTAATTTTTTGTCTTTTCCACAATACTAGCTTAGAAGAAAGACAGCATAACTAATTTGATCATAATTTCTTATTCCCCTATTTAAAAAATAATAAATGTGGCCAGGCACCAAAGAGGAAGACTTTGTCCAGGCTGCTACTTACAACTATTAATTACCTGAATCACACTTCCATATAGCCATTCTTCAGGGGTAAATGTTATAGGATCACAGTATTTTCAAATAAATTGTGTGATCTTTTTGTTGTGCAAACTATTTGCTCATTTTCTTCAACTACCACAGCAAGGAAACTCCTTGTCTTAGGGCATTAGTGGTGCAAAATGCATCGAATTTTAAAAGGAACTGGAAAAATTCACAGCAGAAAAATCACAACACTATTTATCAAATACATGACCTCTGGTAAGGAAAGTCTCTGAGCAGTAGATCTCTACAGGCTAAGGCAGAATTTATGAAAGTATAGCCTATCTGCTTCCTTGTACAGTTTCTCTTTCCTGGACATATGCAATGGCAGAAGGGATGCTGCCTCTATTGGACTGACCAAGCAGAGCCTCTCTCATGACTGAAAGAATATAATCTTCATTCCAACTCATTTCTCAAGAATAGATAAAAGATGAAGCAGCAAATCAAGGAAACGGGTGCATGGAGGTGACCAAAAAACCCAGTAAGGCTAGTAGTGAAAACAGTCATGAGCTTAGGGCTAAACATACCAAAGGCTGTATCAATTGCTTTAAGTCCTTTTCCACTTATTTGTGAGTCTTTCCTGTCACATGCCTATAAGTGTGTCATGACCATTGTGATCAAAACACAGATGTCACAATCATATCACAATCATATCACAGAAACATACCTACAATACACAGCATGATAGCAGCTCATCACCAGACAGATCTGTTCCCATTAAATGACGGGAATGGATCCACTTGGGGGCATGACAGAATAATGTTTTTCTATAGTCTACAGCACCAATTTAAAAGGCTATGAGGAACACCATGGCTAAAAAATACCATTGTGCTAAAAAAGGTAAAGCACGCACGACAAGATGTGAAAACCATGGGTGAAACATGGCACACAGGAATTTCTCATTGTTGATGTGAAACTTCCAGATTCAAATAGATGTAATGGTTCCCCCTTCCACAAAATACACATAACACTGACTGAAGTCTGCCACAGACATCAAGAACACTAACTTCATGAGACACCAGGTTTGTTATTTAAGCATTCAGTAGAATTCAAGAGTTGTATATCCTCAATGTGCTCACCTGCAGAGGCAATGTGAGATTTAAATCTTTCCAACACAAAAATGCTGAACTTGAGAAAAGGAATTTTAGTGTACTAGTTCAGTTTAATTTCAACCTGATGAGTTAAACCCCTTAAGCCATCATACTGAGATAGCAGATTCAAAACAGCATCAGCTTAAAAATGTATCAGCTAACCCTTATCCTAGAGAGTTGTCACACCAAAACTCAGAGCTATATTAAAATGTAAGTTGATGCTCAGTGTAAATTTTTTCCAGATATCACAAAAGGTGTCTACAAACTAACATAATGCTAACAGTGAAGTTGTCACTGAACAACTGTATTCACTGATAGCCTTATTTACATGACAGACTCCTTCACTTAATGCATTCCACACACACCCCCCTTTGCAAATAGTTTGCATCTGAAGAAAAAATTGGGCTGTTCATCTAATCAATAATGCCATGTCATGCATGTATCTTCTGCACACATCCAGTGCAAAAGATGTCAATGATGTCCCACTCCAATGATTATCAGGCAACGAAGTAAAAAGATGCACTTTTCATCTCCACAGGACTGTTGCCAAACCCGTGATGTAATAAATGAAACATGCCTGCTATTTCTCCATTGCAAAATGGTACTACAGATATCTTACAACATCTCTGTTTGCAGGAGGGGGTAACTAGCTCTAGATGAAGTGCAGATATGTTATTAAACAACGCACAGCTTGAATCCTGGGGCCAACACAGATGACCTTTAGAACATAAGCACTGTCTAAGACAAATATGCTTTCATCTTTGGGGAGTATTTTTTCAAGAAAAGATTTAAGAGAAAAACAGTTTAGAAATACGTTAAGCACAAATGTGCCTTCAATCTCTTAATGTTTCATTTTAAAAACAAAACCACAAGTAGTATCACATGTCAGAGGAAAGACTAAGAACTCTTTAAACAGAATAATAGTGAATTGAGTGAGATTTAGCTTCATTTTAATTGAAAAAACCCAATAATCAAAGCACAGAGAAAGGAGACGTGATGTGACTGAGATCCAAAATGGAGGTACAACTAAATTGATTCAGAAAAAAGGCTTGTATTTTTATTACAAGTCTATAAAACCAAAGACCATTATTTCACATCAGAATCCCTTAAGAGGGATGAAAATATAAAAACATTACAAACCCACACTGAGGCATACAAAACAAGAAAAATTATTTTAGAGATGGATTAAGTTAAACAGCAAATGATACAAACAGAAAAAAAACCTATAATTTCTCATTTTGCACTTAACAGGCTGTTACCGTTTATCTTCAGTAAGGTGATTTTTCCAGTTATATCTTGACTCTGGTGTTAAGCAGCTTTAACACATACAGTGATATTTGCTTCATGTAAAAGAGCAGCATTGCTATGACAAAATTCCTTCCTCCACAAACTATGGTTTGCGGATTCTGACAAGTTCTGCACTGTTTTTCCATCAAAGTTAGTGACAAGCCATCGAAACACCCTACACATCTGCACAGCACCTTTCAGGATAGAACCACCTGTGCCTGAAAAGCCCATATCACACATTGGAATCCTCAAAGACCATAGGCCTGTTATGTTTTGGTGGTTTTTTTTAAAAGAAGATTTAATGTCTTACCTCGAATTCAGCATGGCGGTTAATATCCTCTGCTCTCTGTCTGCTCAAGATAAATTCTGCTTCATTAGCCACTCTTACCAAATGGTCTTTCATGGTTTGACTCAGCAACCTGAGGGACAGGGAACAGTTAAGAATTGCCTTGGGAAGATGAAGTCCTATGATTAAAAACCTGTAAATACAGTGTATTTTTTGAGCTCTGTTCCATAACTGACTTTATTGCATTAAGTAAATGGTATAAACAAGGTTGAAGGGTAAATTTCTTAGCAACTAGTAAGAATGCATTTCAATAGTAAACCAAACTAAGTATTAAACAAAATGTAAACACTCTAGACAGTAATTTGTTTTACCTGAAATATAGATAAGTAAGGAAATCTTTTGCATACACACAAGATAAAGAAAAGTCAACAGTTTATGCATACAAACATCCTCAGGGAAAGCCCTAATGTAACTGATGTAAAGACTAAATTTAAAAGAATTGAGAATTGCACTGCAGTAGTTTTCTTTCTCCAAGTGTAAAATTGGGAGTTTTATTATATGTACACATTTAAGTAATATTTTCAGGATTATAAAACATCCTCAGTCTCACAAATGAAATGCTAAGATATACATTGTTCCAGGTTATGTACAGAATAAAGCTGTAATTCAATCTGAGATTTCTGAGGCCTTCATAAACCCTGAGTTTCTGAATGGCAGCAGAGCTGACAGATTGAAATACAACCCAGTTATTCTGTGAGTTCATATATTGCTACAAAAAACATTTCCTTTTTAATTAGTTACATTTGGTTTCATAAAGTTAAAACTGGCTATACAGGAACTACACTGTTTTTGAAGGTGCACATTTCCACAGGATCACTCAAAGATACACCAGAAAAATCTATGACATGCTGTACTGGTTAGTTTTTTCAAAATACCTGTTACTAAAGTTTTGTATTTTTTTTTTTAAGGTTTCCAGTTGCTAACTTAGAAAACAGTATCAGAACATAAAATCAGTTGTTTGCCTTGCACATGTAAGCTAAAATACATTTCAACAAGTTCAGAGTCTACTGAGAGCCTTTCTTTACAAACACAGAATATATTATGCAGGATACATACAATCTTAATTGTAATCCCTAGAAATTCTTTCTGATCTAAGGCTCCACCTGCCTCTATCTGTATGCTTGACAATATGTTCACCAGTGCTCTCCTGTGCTATTCACAATTCCACACTTGCAATAGGTTTGCAAGTCACAAGTCTATTCCAAAAAGAAAAGATCTAGAGGCAGAGCAAAACCTGAAGCTCTTTGTTTATTGCTTCTCTCCTTACTAGGCTAGGAAAACTGCAGCACAGCAGCTAAATGAGGCCATGTGATCATGAACTAGTTATATCAGTGCATTACCGAAACCTTGAAAAAATATGCACAATCAATTATTTGACTGAACCTTCTGTTTCAGGAGGTTTGTGCAGAAGCCACTGTTCCAGAACATTGTATTTTTTTTTTTCTATTTTTTCATCACTTTTAGAATGGAAGTAGCTGTTAATCAACAAACATATAAAATCTAGCCAATTTATCTGCATGCATTAGTGACCAGCTTTTACTTTCAAAAATTTGAAAAACCAACATTGCTGCAACAATGTAACTTCGATTTCATAACTTTTCATGGCTTCAAAAAACTTGGGAGAATTAACTAGTTAGGAAGGCATTGCTCATCCACTGGAAAAGAAACCCCTAACCTTTGTCTCTAATAATTTACAAAAGCATTCAGTTAAAAATAAATCCCTACTAATAAACCAGAAGCAAGACACTTTGCATAACCAATTTCATAGAGTGAGAAGATTTCAAGCATTTGATTCCCTTCTTTCTCTAAAATCCCCAGCAGCACATTCAAATCTGCCACATAAGTGTGTAAATACATATTTTTTAATTAAACTAAGAATGGTCTAAAAAAATAGGCATCATAAACACTTATGTACTATATCATGCATTATGATTTACATTTAACACAGTTGGAGAGTATCCCATTAATTTCATTGAGTTTGTCAATACCTATACTTTCTGCTAACCTGATTTGACTTTGAAAAATACTAGTTATCCTCTGAAAGGTCCATTTTTAATCTAACACTAGTTATCCTCTTCATTCTTTTTTCATCTGTTCAAGAAAGTACCCAATATAATAATTGTTTTTAACAATTTATTGCATGTATTTTCTTTTTTATCTACTGAACCTAATCAGTAAGCAGCCCAGTACACAACTGACTACACTGGCATTTACTACCCATTTGCAGAGATTATGGATATGCTCCAAAGAAAGCAAAGATCTACATTCCCTCACACACAAGAAAAACATTCTCAGAACAGACCAGAAGTGCACCTAGTAAAAAAAACCAACCGAACAAACAAACAAAAAAAAACAAACCACTGTTTGAGTATCAGAAAGACCTTGGTCTCCTATGGTTTAGTTGCCACTTTTGGCACCCCCACCACTCCTAATCCCACACGCTTTCCTCATTTTCTCTACAATAAACCATGCAGGGCTAGGCCAGCTAGATAAAACTTACACGTTATTTTGCAGATAAATCCAAGTGGCATTTGACATTTTGGCAACCAAAAATTCTTATGGCTAACAACTAAAGAATCGTCCAAGCTTTGCATAAGCACCTACTAGTAACCTCAAGCCATCTTCAGAAAAAGAGTAAAAGCTTTGTGTTATTAAGTATCAATTATTATACAATTACTTCCCTTCTTGCAGTTGGCCAAGTTCAGCAACTAAAGGTGTTCAGCAG